CCTGCCCTAGGTGTCCAATCCAGTCTTCTATGACCATATTGGCAAGACTCATGGAATTCAGCAGCTGGGCCATTTTATTAGAAATATGAAGTACGAGACTCTATCCATGAGAAGGGAGCTAAGAACTTAAATGGCACTGAATACAGTCTCATTCATTCATTCATTCATCCATTGTTTGTCAAGCACTTACAATGTGCCCTGCATTATATTAGTGCTAATTTGCTAAATACAGAAAACTATGCTGATCAAAATGAAAATTATTCTGGCCCTCGGGGATATTAGTACTTTTAGGGGAGGTGTTAATAGTCACAGAATGCATATGTAAAGTTGAATCACAGAGAAAATCCCAGAACATATGCTACAGGTGTGGATGTGGTCAGAAGTAATTTGGTGAGGCTGCTCTGATAATTATATACATTCAGAATGCTTGTGAAACATGTGAATCTTGTTGTTAGTTCTTGCCACATTATTACATATGGAGGCTGGTCCAAGCCAGTCTGAAATCAGGCTAGTTCTAAGAGTAGCTGGAGAGTCTTGATGGTAGCAAAGATTGTCGACCACTTCTTGTTTGTAAACATGAAAAACATGGCATTTCTATTTGTGTGGCATCTTCTATGTCAGGCAAGGTGGCAGGTGGACACTAAGGGCCTTTGGGATGAACATCCTGAATACTGCCTTCTGGAGATGACACTATCTATTCTGGTGCTGGTGACCCTATCACAGAGACAGTCTATATACACTATGCTGACTATTCCTGGCTTGCCTAATTTGTTTCTATTCAAGGTTTGACCCTGTCACCAGATTCCTGTGGAGATTAACCTGTCAGAGTTTGGAATGGGGGCTGTTCATTCCCCAGGGCTGGGCTTTTACATCCGATGAAGCCAGTTGTGCCTGTATCTTGAGTGAGGCAGGCAAAGAGAGGAGGTCTGCATGGCAGAGCAATTTCCTTTCAGATTGGGAAACAGAGAATTTGTGTTTGAGACAAGAACGCTATTTCTGTCTCCCATCTGATGTCACACCCGTTTCATTTTAAGACACCTGCCTTCCCAGAGCTCAAGCTACCTCCCCTCTCCTTTTTCCCTCTCCTCCCCACCTCTACTACCACCATCCCTCTCCCCCTTCCTCCCTTATCTCTTCCTCCTCCCCTCCTTCCTCCCCCTCCCTACTTCTTCCTCCCCTTCCTCATCGTCTCCATTTTCCTCTTTGTCTCTTCTCTCCTTCCCTTCCTTCCTTCCTCTTCCCCCTCCTCCTCTTTCTCCACTTCTGGCTTCTCTTCCTTTTTGAATCATCCACACTAGTTGGCTTTTGCTCTGGAAGGTAATGGTGATGGAGGAACTTACTTTCAGGGGACTTCAGACCAATCAGGGGCTGAGGATATGATCTGCAGGTGTGGTGTCCCCATGCTTGCTTTCTCTAGACAATGGGAGTAATCCAGTGTCATACATATTTACCTGAGCATGCGTTTATTTATTTTCCTCAGTCTTCCGGGTTCCAAGAAGAATGAAAGAGAAAGACACGAAGCACAATGCCTTTGGCAGCTCCCTTCCTAATGAGAGCCTCTTTTTAGAGGACTGCCCCTTCCCAGGCTCTGGAGACAGACCTCAAAGAGTAACCGGGTGTAGTTAAGGGCATGCCGTGAGTCCTGACTGAGACTGGGCTTTGCATGGATTAAAGGACACCTCTTTAGACATGGGGATTGAGTGCAGTGTGGAGAGAGGACAAATTCTGAGTGAATTCCTGTTATTGACATGAGCATGGCCATGCCAAGAACCCTAATGCCTCAGACCCATGGAAATGACAAGGCCTTTCCCTAGCCAGGCTCAGAGGAATGGCAAATTCTTCCCCCAGTCCAAGTAGAACATTGACAAATGGTTGACCTTTAACTACTATCAATGTATGTGGAAACTACCAGCTGCTGTTTTCTCCTCACAGATGACTGTATCCTGGGACTGCTTTCCTATGGAGACAGACCATCCACATAGATTAGCTGACCTGCCCCTTCCTTGTTCTTGCTGTATGTGATAAGTGAGCTGTTGCTAGTGTCTCCATCAGCACTCACAGACCATGTGATCCCAGCTTTTCTGCATGTGTGTCTGTCTTGTCTTCACTCCCATTGCCTGCCCCAGTTGGGTCTGTGCAGGTTGCAGTGGTACAGCATCCCACGTCTGCAAAGGGAGGGAAGGCTACGATCTTCCTATTCTGATGGAGGACAAGGCAAGGTCTCCCTGAGGCCCTTTGCTCCCACACAGGAAGTGCCATTCTTATTTCCTGCTCCTTTTCCAGATGATCTGATGCCCTCTTCCCTCACCCACCTCCTCCTCTGCACTCAAGGATGAAAACATTTCTTTAAGAACAAAGAGACCCTAGATCTGGGCAGCCATCAGCATGGTGGGAGAGGTCTCTGCAGTCACTTGGCCTGTGTCTGGAGCCTGGCTCTGCTCAAGGGGTGCGGGTATGGGCAAATCCCATGTTCTGTGAACTAGGAACAAACATTGCATTCTTTCTCTCTTACAGCTCATGGATCATGGGTACCTACAATTATGTACTTGAAAGTAGAAGCAAACATATTTACAGGGACTAGTGAGACCAATGAGATGGAGAAAGGGCAGAGGAGACAGGAATGGGCCCAGTGTTAGAATTGTGTAAAGTGTCCTTATGTAACACAATACCATATACAATATACATAATGAAAATCTGAAATAAAAACTGAGATGGAGGGGCTGGAGAGATGGGTCAGTGGTTAAGAATACTCTTTGGGCTCCCAGAGGTCCTGGGTTCAATTCCCAGTAACCACATGATGGCTCACAACCATCTGTAATGAGATCCTGTGCCTGCAGGTATACATGCAGATAGAACACTGTATATATAATAAATAAATCTTAAAAAACAAAACTGAGATGGCCAGTGTTCTGGAATCTGATCACGCTGGACTTGGTCCCCAGTTCCTGCTCTAGGACAGGTTTTCTCTGGATAGGATCCTCCTGTCCAAAGCAGATATCCAGCCCCCTCCATCCCCCAACCCCTAAACAGCTGTGTTCTAGATGGCACTGGGAAATGCAAGCCTGGGGTTGAATCTCGTGCTAGCTTAGTTGTCATGGTAACACTTCTTAGGAGTAGCTCAGCAAGACTTTTGTACAACCTGAAAAAAATACCATGAAACATTAAGAGATGAGGAACCGCCCCTCAATGTCCTCATGGGAAGTCTACCATTGCTAACAAGGGTGTCTGCAGGCAGGAAGCATGCATGGAAATAACTTCTCGAGGTGCCTTTTGGAATCTCCACATCATACTTTGTGCTCTGGGTGTTCTCCTATGCCAAGAGCTTGTCTTGTATGAAGAACAGAGTCACCAACCTTGGCAGCTAGAATTTTGGAGCACTTTTTCTCTAGCTTCAGAAACCATCACCCAGACAACAAACAGTCCACCTCTGGCTTTACAGAGGTCAGAGCCAGAACCCAAGGTGCTTTCCTTGTGACTACAGCAGAGGTGAACTTTTTGTTTGTTCCTGGTTTTATTTATATTTTTAGATAAGGTCTCATGCCATCGAGGCTTGCCCCAAACTCCTTATGTAACCAAGGAGGATGACCTAAAACTCCTAATCCTCCTGCCTCTGCTTCTGGAGTGATGGAATGACAGAAATAGGCTACCAGGCCCGGCTTTGCTTGTTTGTATGAGAGACTCACTCTTTAGTCCAGGTTGACCTGGAACACATAGCAATCTTCTTGCCTCCGTCCTAGAGATGAGGGAATGGTCTACTTGATCAGGGGGGCCTCCGAGGGATTCTGTGTGAAATCCTAAAGGGACAGCAGGAGGGGCTGCTAATGTGCTCCATTAACTCTGCAGGCCAGCCTGGGCTTTGGAGTCAGGTTCCTGATTGTCACATTTCTTGGATCCAAGGAGCATTCACAGGCACAGGGCATACAGAGAGTCCCCAACAGGAGTGAGCATCCAGGAGCAGACCTACCTGCAGGAAAATCAAAGAGGGACATACATGGTCACTGTTTAAAGCTATTTGATGGGCTTAAAATGGCCAGAGTGGCAGGAACTGTGCACATTGACTCAGTGTCTTCTGGGGCCGGGCCACTGCTAAGTATCACCTTAATGTTGAGATGGGGTGCTTGCACTCCCATTTTACGGGAAAGAAAAGTGAAGGTACAAAGAGCAAAAGCAGGAACCAAGACCCATGTGCCCCAGACATGAGGACCCATAGCCTGGGAATGGGGTCAGGAGGTTACGGAGGTCTGTCTAAGTGGATTAACACATAGGCAGACCACAGAGGAGGGGGGGACTTGGGAAGGAGGCCCACCTGATCTCAGCAGGATTAGCTGGTTTCATGGGGGATCAAAGCTGACTAGACTCCTGACAGAGGTCACCAACCAGGCACAACCACAGAAGCAGGTCTGGCCACGAGGGAGGAATCCCAGAATTGCTGGGCCGGGCCTGTGGTGGGTGGGAGGGTCTCACAGTGGAAGCGGAGCTCTAGAAGACTGCTTGGTGGAAGGATTGGAGATTCGTTAGCTGAATCCTAGGAAGACCTGAGATTCAAGCAGAGGTGCCAGGGTATTGCTTTTTCTCCTGGCTTAGGGAAGGAAGGAAGAAAACCATTGTGGTCTTAGGTTCACACAAGTCTGGTTTTGTTTTGTTTTTTGCTTTGTTTTGTTTTTCGAGAGAGGGTTTTTTTGGAGGCTGTCCTGGAACTCGCTCTGTAGACCAGGCTGGTCTCAAACTCACAGAGATCCACCTGCCGAGTGCTGGGATCAAAGGCATGCGCCACCAATGCCCAGCTTCAAGTCTGGTTTTAAAATTGATTTCCCCTGTGGATTTGCTCTGTGTCCTCAAGGAAGTTTCTAGACTTCTCTGAACAAATAGCCTGTATTTCACAGGTTTTTGGAGACAATGAGATAGGATACTAAAAGTGAACTCCGAATTTCAGTTTTATACAATATGAATACTCAGTGATACGGCTGATGTTATTGTCAATATGAATACCCAAGTTTATTGTGGTTTTTTTGGTAAGTCTCCAAAAGCCTTGGTTTGTTAGGACTGATCCTTGTGCAACTCAAAACATAAGGTCTGTCTTCTCTTTCGGGCTGGGTTCCTACTGGACAATCAAGACCCATTTCAAAGGATTCCTACATCGTGAAGGCCTCGCCAACGTTTGCAGCATGAGTCATGTCAGCATCTCTGCCACACGCGCACCTTAGCCCTCGTCACACCGTGAGTGGTTGTGCTCTCCCACAGGCTCCAGGAGGTGCAGAAACTGGCCCATCCCCCTTGCTTAATGGTGGTCCAGTTGTGGTTTGCCTATCCCAGGGGAACCCCCAGACCACTTCAAGTATCCTAGAAGTCATAACATAACTATATCTCTGCCTCCGGGACATTATTTTCTGCCTTCATCTTGCTGGCATTTGCTCTGCTAGTGAATTTCAGTAGTAGCAGGAAGTGACTCCCAAGTGTCACACAGTCACAAAGGCCTCCACTGGCACATACTTAATGCACACACGTTCCAGGAGTGGTTAAGGGCGTCCTGAATGAGGGTTGAGATTCAGCATGTGCCAAGCCCTGGGTTCAATCCCCAACAACTTCTCGAAGTCCTCGTCAGAGCAGGAAAATGTTTGCTTTTGAAACTCACCCTAGCCGGGCGTTGGTGGCGCACGCCTTTAATCCCAGCACTCGGGAGGCAGAGGCAGGTGGATCTCTGTGAGACAGAGAAACCCTGTCTCGAAAAACCAAAAAAAAAAAAAAAAGAAACTCACCGTAAATACATGTCTTTTTAGCAACCTATGAAGCAAAATCAGCCTGGACAAAGCACTTGGCTCTGGGCCACAGCTCTGTACTGTTTGCTTCTGAGCTGAAGAAACTATTCTTCACTGGACGCTATTTCTACCTGGAAGACCCGGGTGTAAACTGTTATTCACAGTAACCGGCCTGTGTTTTCTCAGAAGTTAGCAAAGCAAGTCTGCCTGTCTTCGCAACAAAAGCAGCTGATGGTGTTTATGGCCAGGGATAAACGGTGAGTGTAACTTTGTCTGTTAAGCTACCATGACCTCAACGGTTCCCCCAAACCCTGAGTCAGATGGGAGAGATACTGACAAGCATGAGGCTTTCACAGCACAAGAAAACACATTGCTATGTAAACAGTCTGTGGGAGCTGGCAAAGCATTTGGGTTCGAGACGGACACTGCATGTTGGACCATTGTGTGAGAGAGCAGGAAAAATATGGAAATATGGTCTTGGATCTGATGCCACAACCCCTTTAACCCTTCATCAAGGGCTTAGTGTAAAGGTAAAGCTTACCCACAACTGAGAAGGCTGTTAAAATTCCGCCCGTTTCCAAGGACCTGCTCATGGGACACTAGGTAAACCCAATTCGTGGCCATAGATTGACTGCAAGAGCAGACATGGGGATCCAGGTGTCTTTAATTAAACCCAACATCAAAAGGATTTGAAAACATTTACCAGTGTACCAGGCTTTTTTTTTTTTTTTTTTTTGGGTGGGTGGGGAGGGGACTAATCAGCTCCCAAATCACAACACAGAAACTTATTGGTTTTGAATGTTCTGCCTAGCTTAGGCACGTTTCTGGCTAGCTCTTTTAACTTAAATTAACCTGTTCCTCTTTATCTACTTTTGCCCTGGGGCTCATTACCTTTCTCACTTCTGTATGTCTTACTTTCCCTGCTTCTCTGTCTGCCTGGCTTCTTTCCGGGAGTGCCCCTGGTTCTCTCCCAGGCTCATTCTTCCTTTTCTTTTCAAGCCTAGATTTCTCCTCCTTCTATCCTTTCTCCCATCTAGCTATTAACCGATCAGCTTTATATTAGACCAATCAGGTGTCTTAAGCAGGCAAGGGGAAGCAAATGTAACACATCTTTACATAATTAAACAAATGCAGCATAAGTAAAAGTAACACACCTTTACACAGTAAAAGTGATATTTTGAAGCATAAACAAGTGTAACACATCTTTGCCCAGTTAAAATAACATTCTACAACATACCAAGATGTCACGAAGCTTCTCATTCCATGCCTTTGCCCTCATAAAATGTTGTTTATTTCTATGAAATTATGTTTTGCATGAACATGTACTGGATTTGTTACTGCTTTTTAAATAATGAATGAATGAGTGAGTGAGTATTTGTGTGATTCCTCAGTTTTAATTCTTATAATTAGATCCTGAGGTTATCAACAATGTTTGTTGTTTCAGTTTTGAAGGGCAGGGTCTCACTATGTAGCTAAAGTTGGAATAGTCCAGGCTAGCCTTGAACTTGTGACCTTCTTGCGTCATCCTCCCATATGGTGGGATTTTAGGCATGTGCTACCATGCCTGACTTGGGCTCCTCAATTATTTTTAAGACTGTAAGGGTCTTGAGAACAAAGACCTTGAGAGTTGCTGGCATAGCACATCTGAGGTGTTCACTAAAGATGTGTGGTGTTGGAGACCTTTGGAGTGGTGGTGGCTTCACCCTGGGTGTTGGTGCATGTGTTGATGAGACTCTGAACAATACTTGATGTGGTTTAGATTTGTACAGAGAGGGGTTTATTCTGATCACAGTGTGAGAGATCAGAAGTTTACAGCATAGAGCAGCCTCAGTTAAGAGAGGCTTTCTTTGCCTGGTGTCTGGAAGGGGCTACCGGGAGCCAGAGCTGGTGTTCAGAAAGGACTCCCCAGATGGCAAGAGCAGAAGAGGTCTCATCCCCCCAGTGTCCTGGCTGGGGTCCCATGGTCCCCTCCGAAGGCACTCTCCTAAGAACCACCCATTGGGCTCCACTTCTCCAAGCTCCAGCTACTTTCTACCACCCCAAGCTTCCAGCACAGGAGCCTTGAATGGACAAATAGCTTGCAAACCACTGCACTCTCTCTGCTCCTAGGGGTGGGGGAGGTCAGTCTTGGGACTGCCTGGTCCCGTCCTCTGGTGGCTTTAACAGGAGCTGGACCGGTGACCTTGGAGCTCCTTCAAGCCTTCTGCAGCTGATTTATGCTAAGTAGGATTACCCAGGAGCCCTCACAGCTACATCCAAAATTGCTTCCTCAGACTGCACAGCAGCCTCTGACTTCATTTGTTTCCTGCCTTTGTCGCTGGGTTTAGGCCAGATTGGGCAGCATATGGAATCGCTGAGACCATCATTTGAAATTAAATTTCAGAGATGTTAGGGGTCAAGTCTGGGGCAGCTCGTAGGTTATTTTTGAAGACGGACCATTTCAGAGGAGAGCAAAGGTGGACCGCTTCCCATTCCTGCCTCCCTCTGCCTGGCTGGGCATGACACATCCTGCTTCAGAACTGCTGATTGCGCTCTCCTTACTGATGGGCAGACCTAAGTGGGGGAGCAGTGACCTTTTCCTGCCACCAGTAATGTAATCCAATCTCCCCTCTCAGCCTGAAAGAGAACCACTTCCCTGTCTGTGCCGGTGGCTGCCTGTCATTAGAGCCCAGGCCACTATGCACTTGAGGAAACCGTAATGGGCTTGGAGAGATGCTCATTAGCTAATGTAGTAAAACCCAGAAAGAAGAAATCCAATGACCTTCAAGGCTTTCAGGGTTTATGGAACTTAAGGGATGCTTCCTTTGCTGGGCCCCTGGAAGGCATTGCTGGGAGCCAGGGCTGGGCAGAGTGAGGAGGCAGGTTCAGAGGCAGCTGTGACAGGCCAGTTCTACAGAAGCAGGGTAACTGCATGCTTGTCTTGAATGAAGGAGCCTCAGCTTTCCCTCCCCCACAATTCCTCCTCCATCAGTTATTATCCTGCCCTCCCTGGCAACCCCAACTCCAGGAAGTGCCTGAGCCCAAGGTGGTACAGTTCTTGGCAAGAGCCATCCACAGTCAACATCTCCTACAAGCCAAAGGAATGGGTGCCTGGATCCACATAGGAGTCAAGATTATACACCATTCTCTCAGATCACAGAGAGTCACAGGAAGCCATCTGGGCATCCAAGGAACAGAATGATCTAGTCCGAAGATACAGGAAGCTGGAACTAGAAGAAAATTTAAGTTTCATTCTAAAAAGAGGTTGTGTCTTTAAATGAAATCAAAGAAAACATAGGAAGTACTAAATGTTGATAAGCTGAACAAGTGTTTTTGTTTTTTTTTTAATGGATGAATGAGATTATACATGGAAATCCAGTATATAACTTGCTTAGGTAGGCATTTAACCATTCTGGGCCTCAGTATTTGCATGTATAATGTGAGAATGATAGTAGAGCTATTTCCATAAGTGTCTCTCCAAGGTTTACATAATTGCTCCAGGTAAATTCTGAGAACAGCACCTGACATGCATGTGTGTGTGTCACCCATAAATGTGAGCAAGTCATCTTGTGCTTGTGACTGTTACTGGAAGTGCAACTCCCAACTCCCAGGGCACCCTGCAGACAGAGCCCCAGAGCTGAAGGCTCTGAAAAGAGCAGCAGTATGCCACTAGTGGGTACGGAGCCACAAGGGCACAGAAGCCATTGGAGTTTGACCTTAGGTTTTACTGGGACTCAGTGTCCTCAAATGCTGTTAGTTTAGTGTTCTAGTGTCCCCGGGAGGGGCACAGATGAAGCAATATAGGAATTAGTTCTGTTAGTCCCCAATCAACCTTTCTACTTGTGTAGGGTGAGCTCGGGATGGTGACGGGGGTCCTGATGCCTAGCCCTCACCATTTCTCCTCGTGAGGAGAGCAGAGCCAGCTTCACCAGCATTACTTCACTCTCTTGGCTCTTGTTTTATTGTGGCCTTTTTTTTAAATACCAAGTACAGCCTCTTGCCCCATAAATGTGACAGGAGAAACATTCTCCTTCATAAAATAAAATGAGTGAGAATGACTGAAAGAAATGTGGAACAAAGAGCAGCAGGAGGGTGAACTTGAACATGGCAGACGCTGGAAGGGGTTTAGTCAGTGTCTGCGCTGAGGGTCACGTGGAGAAGCGTCTGGAAGGTTGAGCTGGGAGGACTGGAGTCTGCCTGGTTCTTTGCCACCTGTCACCTGGTAGAGGTCACAGAGGACTCCTCGGTTGTCCTGGACAACTCATTTGCATATGGCTCTGCCCAGGCTCTTTCAAAGCTCAGCTCAAGGGTGTCTCCTCAGAGAATTTCCCCACAATTCTCCCTGAGGGAAAGTCACCTTTTTGTTTACAGGGTCTGAGGTCTGTTTCTGTGAAAACACACCTGAGACAGTCAATTTACCAGGAGGACAGGTTTCCTTTGGCTCAAGATGTAAGGATTCAGGCATTATGCTGGCCTGCCCCTGCCACCTGGCAGAATGCACTCAGGTGGTACCCTGGTCAGTTCAGGGTTCCAAGACTACCAGTCTGCATGCAGGTGCAAAGAACCCTTTAAAAGAGAGACCCCTGCCCACTTACTCTTTTTCCCTGGGGGCAGACAGCACTTTTCCTGTCTCCCTCTTCTGTTCTCTCTCTGGGTCTCTTTACCTCTTTTCTCCGCCCCCTCCCCTTTCTATTAAAACTTCTCACTTAAGCTCTGTCTGCCTGGCGTGTTTGTCCCCTGAGTCTGTCACCAAGGTCCCCCTCATATAATCATTACCCAAGGCGTGATGATTTTGGTCTGCGGTAGCCTACCTATGGCTTTAGGGCCTCATGGTGAGGCAGCAGATGCTGGTGTGAGGCCAGCCTCCTTCCTAGCAGCAGGGTGCAGAGAGAGAAGGGAGGAAGGGGGCTCCCACTGTCCTCTACAAGGACACAGCCCACACCCCCACATCTGAAGACCTCTCACTAGGCTCCACCCCGGAATACTTCCACCACTCTGCATCCTGTCACAGGTGAGAAGAAAGTCAAGATGTTCCCAGACATTTGGGGGAGATGGGATGTGGTCTATTAGAGCAAGTCACACTGCGTGGCTGTCATTGGTGCCTAGCATGGGGACGAACACACACTGGGTGGTCCAACCATGACTAGACATTAGATGAACATTGATGGAGCTAAATATAGCCTGGGGGGGGCGAGGACGAGGGAGAGAGAGAGAGAACCGAGAACCACAGCAGAGTGTGATGCAACCCTCGCTACCGATATAGATTTCCTGTGATTTAAGACTATAATTATAATAATTCAAGTTACATTTGATAGCAGCTGAACAGGGAACCTGGAGGCGGATGATGGCGCTGCACAGACTCTATTGGTGTTTCTGCCAGGTGCCACAGGCTGCTAGGGAATGGTGAGCCCATTAGGAAAGTCTTGTCGTGTTCCCAGGATCTAGTCATTCTCACCCAAGCCACCCTTGGCTCCTCAGAAGCAGCTGCGTGCCCCTTCTCAGATACAGGCGACCAGCCGCCCTGAGCTCAAGGCTAACCACGGGTTTAGGGGTTTAGGGAGAAAAGAGGAATGCTGGCAAACGCTTCTGTCGCCACAGTGATTGCCTTTCTAGTCGGTTCATTTGGGGGTGCGCTTGGCTCAGAGCCCGAACTCCCTGGAGCCTCTGGTGTCACAGAGAATGGACACTGAAATCTAGTGGTTTGACTAGATCACTTGTTCTCTCAGGGCCTGCTTCTCACCTGTGAAGCAGGGATGGCGGTTTCTTCTCTCGAGTGTGGTAGTCACAACTGGCTCAGTGATGGGCAGGTGGCAGTCACTCCTGCCACACAGAGTTATGGTTCCTTCTCTTGCTACACTCTGAGGTGCACCCTGCTTCTGATGTAGGCTGAAGGGTGACATATGGGGGATAAGATGCTACTGAGAAGGGTGACCTGGTCCCCGCTGTCACAGGTGCAAGTGAGGGTGTGAGCGAATGAAACTGGGAAATCTGGAAGGTCATTCTCAAGTTATAGAGGTCGGAAGCATCCTTGGAGGGTGACTGCTGGACTGAAATGGCCTTGGCGCCAGAGAATCTGCATTTTAACACCCACCCTGGGCTCTTCCACTGCAGGACTGTGTAGCAACACCTTGAGGGTCCCCATAGAACTGGAGCAGGCTGTGCTACTCCGGAGATCACAGATGTGGGACCAGCACTCCAAATCGAGAGACCCCCCCCAGTAAATCTCCAGATTCCCATTCTTGGGAGCACCCAGGCACAGGCAGCACCGTGCCCGCATTCCCGCTTGGCAGCAGGCAGAGCTCTGCAGTGCACCTGCTGTCTTCAGCTGAGGCTGCGGCTGCTGCCTCTGCAGTCCTGGCTCAAATTCTGACGTCATTTAATTTGTGATCTCCCTCTCCCCACACATCACAAACTGAAGCCGGGAGGCGCAGGGGCCCGGGCTTGCAGAGCCAGCTACGGACAGCTGCCATGTGTGTGCCGAGACCTAGAGTCTCAGGGCTGAGAATTCCAGCAGGACAGCCACTGGGCCCCGTTGTGACCAACTGCTGGAGGAGGCTGCAAGGAAATAAACAGCCAATTGCAGGGTGGTAGGCGAGGTGCTTGAGGCGGGGACATTCAACATGACAGGAGACAGAGTGCAGGGAGAGCAGCTGCTGGCTATTTTTGCCTCTGATGGAGGGAGCCTCCCTAAAGCTTAAGTGCGTGGGGGTGGGCGCTCATGATGCTAGCACAGGGATCCAGCTTGCTGTTTCGTATCTGCCTCATCTAGGGCTGCCAGAAAAAATAGAAGCTATCCAGTTAAATCTGGATTTCTGGCCATGGATTTTTTTTTTTTTGGTGTAGGTGTGCCTCATATAACACTAGAGGCATACCTAGAATAATAATTTTTAAACGCCTTAATCTGAAATTCAAATTTCTTGACATCTTGTATTTCTATCTGCTAAATTTGGCCACTTTGCCACCTCTCCTCGGGGGTTAGGTCAGTCCGGTGGGGTTTCAAAGACGAATGCTTGGGTAACTAGGGCTCAGAGACAACTCATCATGCCCAGGGTTAGAAGGCCACCAGCAAGTCACAGTGGTTGGAGAGGGATCCAAGTCTGTGGCTCAGGAAGCCTTGCTCTTCTGTTATCTGGGCTCTTAGGAATGCTGGGCTATGGTAGAAGAGGAACAAAATGTGGAGCAGTGAGCACAGACGGGGCCAGGGCGTACAGCTGTGCTCACCGAGAGGCGGCATCTCTTTTTAAATATTATCTGGGAGCTGCAGGGATGGCACAGCAAAGAGCATTGGCTGCTCATATAGAGGATCTGAGTTCAGATCACAGCTCCCACATGGCAGTTCACAACCTTCTGTAGCTCCTGTTCCAGGGGATCTGATACCCTCTTCTGGTCTCTGTGGAAACTGCATCCATGTGATACACACACATGCACTCAGGCACATACACAAACACTTAAATTTTGCTTGTTAATGCACTATTCACATTTAGTGTTTTCAGTGCTGGTGATGGAACCCCGAGCCTTGTGCATGCTAGTCATCTCATACCACCGAGAGCCTAGCTTGCATTCTCTGAGTGTTTGTGCAGCAGCCACCAGGATGAGGTACAGGCCTTATTTGGCATCTGAGGTAGATTGTAGCATCATTACATACACTTCCCATTTACAGAATGAGAGAGTGAGGCCCAGAGAGGCCACAGGTCCACAGGTTTGGGAGCCACAGGAACTCAGGACACACACACTCTCACACAGACACACAGACACACAGACACACAGACACACAGACACACACACACACACACACACACACACACACACACTGTGTATTCTCTAGAGCTTCCTGCAGAGCCCCATGGAGGCCTTCCTGCCCCACATCTGCTGTATATTCAAATCTGATGCTCCTTCCCAGTTTGAGCAAAGCAATGCAAATTGAGACCCTCAGGGATGGCCAGTTTTGGGCAGTTCTGTTTTTGCAGGTGCCATGCTTAGCCCTGTCACCTTGAGCCCTGCATTTCAGCTCTCCTTGCAGGGCCCTAGCAAGGCCATGGCCCCACGTGTAGATCCCCAGTCATGGCCTCCTTTCTATTTTGTGGGGTAAAGGATGCTAGGGAGGGAGTAGATGACAGCAGCTCGGGGTCTCAGCAGAGCTGGAAGTTGGATCCAGGCCTCTGGTGCTATGGTGACAGTTACTATAGAAACTCACCAGCTGCACTCAGGAGGCTACGGGGATTGTGGGGGGTTGTCATAAGCTAGAGCCGACAGAGAAGGGAACTCTGACGTGGGCAGAGTCTGAAGCAAGGGCCAAGTCTCATTTTGGAGCTGCCTGCACTTGTTTCTCCGTCTTCATCGCCTGCCACTTCTCCACGCCCCCGCCCCTTTTATGTACTCTGCAGCCTTGAGTGCCGAGTAGCTGGCTGGGTGCCCTTGTGCCTTCTTTGCCAGGCTGGTGTTGCTTACTTCTTACCTTTTTATCTCAACGCATCTTTCCTTCAAGTGCAGGACACCAGTCACCGGAACGCAGAGAAACAAGGTCTCTGGCCTCATGGAACTCCCCATCTAGGTTGGAATGACACAAGCATTTCCGGAAGCACCCAAATCAACACATGAAAGCATACCAAGCCAAGGAAAGACAGAAGAGGCCAATGAGAAAGACTTGATTATGGGGCTTTAGGAACTGTGTGGTCAGGAGAGCTGTGTCCACCCGCCCCCCCCACCTTCATATCCCATATATTTGCATGCCTAGTCTCCTAGTCTCCCGCTGATAGACTGTTTGGAAGAGGCGTGGCCTTGTTGGAGTAGGCGATGTGTCAAAAACCCACACCAGTTCCACGCTTCCCCTTCATGCTGTTTACAGATCAGGATGTAAAGCTCTCAGCTACTTCTCCAGCACCATGCTTACCTGAGTGCTGCCATGCTGCCTGTTATGATGATAATTAACTAAGTCTCTGAAACTGTAACCCAGTCTCCAATTAAAAGCTTTCCTTTGGAAGAATCGCCTTGATCTCCATGTGTCCTCACCGCAGTAGAGCAGTGACTAAGGCAGGTAGCGTAGTGTTACTGCCTATCTCTCACCTCAGTTTGCTTTCTCCATGCAGCCAGGGACCAGGTTTGATGCATGTCTGCATCCTGGGTGTCTAGAAGCCACAGGGACTCCACACGACACAGGTCAGGCACTGTCACAGGCATGTTCTCACTTCCCCTGCATATGGGTTCCATAACATATCTACCATCTGGTCATACAGAGGCATCAAGGCTCAACCAGGGTTCTTCCAAGGTCCACATCTGGCTTGTGCAAGATGGAGTTTCAAGCTGAGCTCCAACTCTTAGAATCCTTTGTAGGCAACAGGGCCACAGCTTGACTGAAATACCCTTCACGTCCCCACCCAGCCCCCCTTTAAATGTGTACCCATAGATAGCTTTGACTCTATTCACTAAGCTGTGCAAGCAGTAGAACGACCCATCTGTTTCCAAATGCCTTCACCATGCAACAGGAAAACGACTTCATTCCTCTAGCTGTGCCCCAACTGTAGCCTTGTGGGAGAATTTTAAAGTCTTCAGATAGACTGTGGCTGTAAACTTAGAACTGAAGGTGTGTCCATGGGGGGACCGGCCTTTCCAAGATGCACTTTGTGCTTCTTGGCATGTGCAGTGTGTGCCTGTGGCTTCTTTCAGTTAGGACCTCACTTCTCCACCGAAAAGATCTCGGAACAGCCTACAGACAAATAACTGAAATTCCAGGAGAGCCAGGGGGCTTTTCTGGAGTGAGTGGGAGTGGGCAGGAGGGTAGTGGTGCAGACCATGTAGTCACTCAGAATGCCTAGAATTTACCCGCGCCCACAGCATCAGGAACTCCTGACACCATAGAGCCACCGAGCCCTCACCTCTAGGAAGAGCCTTTGTCCCTTCACCCAGATCCAGTTCACAGCTGAGACAGAGCCTTGGGACTGAACTAGTGGGTAAGTGAGATGATTCAGTCACCACTTAGTGGTAGAGGCTCCACTGCTCTGAGTCTTCATAGTCCCTTCCTGCGACTCTGTTGATTGTCCTTACTAAAGCACCAAAGAGGAGCTGGCAGAACTGTCCTTCCAGCCCTGTGTCTTCTAATCCAACTCAGTCTGACAATGTCTACCTGGAGAGACTCTGGGGGTCTCACTGGTGGTTGGTGTTGTGCCCAAATTCTGAACTCCCAAATCACCAAGAGACCCAATCTGATGCAAAAGCAAAGAGTCTTAATTAATTAATGAGTTAACTGTATTATCTGACACAACAAGTGGAGCCAGAAGGACCCAAGGGACCATGGGGGCAGGGGATTTATTAGGGTAGAGCAAGGGGAGTGTCTGGGGGGTCCACAACAGTCTCAGGATTAGTGTACTTCCTGGCTTGGGCAACCTGTCCTAAGTTGATTGGTCCCAGGGTGGTTGCTATGCTCTGCACTCCACTGTTATGGAAAAGTATAGCTAGAGCCCGCCAGCTGACTTCTGATTGGTTCCTTGCCACATGGAGGTATCTGGCTTCCTAGTGACTAGGGCAAGGTCGGTCAAGTTCGGGAAGCTCAGCAAATGTTGCTGAGTCAGGGGTCTACATCTTGCTGGGCCTTTTCTGCAGTCTGTCATGGCTGCCAAAGCCGGGGGCTGGGTGAGGGTCTGGTCCCTTCAGTTGGCACAGGCCCCCATTCTGATGCCAATGACAACCTCCAGGCTCTTTTACCCATGGTTCCACGGGGCTGGCTATAGATCAGAGAGGTTACGATTCTCTCTCCAGGTGGATTAATTTGCTGCAGTGACTCACAGAGCTGGAGGGAAATGCCTACTTATGCTTATTTTAAAGGACATGATGAAGGATGCTGATGAAAACCGGCTGGAAAGACATCAGGGCAGTAAGTGTGGATGAGTGAAATGCTTCCATGCCTTCCCTAGGGATCCTCCAGGTTTGCCATCTTGGAGGATCTCTGCACTCTGCCCTTTCTGTGTGTGTATAGGCATGGTTGATTAAATCACTGGGGGATGGGATCAACTTAGCCTTCAAATTCATTTGCCTCCCTGGAAGATGAGGGGTGGTGATGAAAGCCCAATCCTCCAACCCTGGAGCTATGTGAGGGCTGCCAGTCACCAGCCATCTCACTAGCATAAAACATCCACTCATAACTGAAGATGCCACTGTTGTAATTCTACAAAGTTTCAAGAGAGCGTAAGGCACTATGTGAAAGAGCTTGGGTGGAGGGATGTTTGTTTTAATTAGGGGAAAGTGAATGGGAAGAGGGGAGAGAAGGGAGGGGAGAGGGGAGATCAGCCTCTGGGGACAGGAGCAGCAGAAAAGAAGAGGTAGAGAGAGAGAGAGAGAGAGAGAGAGAGAGAGAGAGAGAGAGAGAGAGAGGGAGGGAGGGAGGGAGGGAGGGAGGGAGGGAGGGAGGGAGGGAGGGAGGGAGGGAGGGAGAGAGGGAGGGAGGGAGGGAGGAGGAGGAGGATGGGAGGTGGGCAGGGCTCTTTTAAAGGGAAATGCAGTGAATACACCCAGGTGGTGCTCTTAGTGGCTGCAGCTGAGGGCATATCCCGCCAGAACTCCAAGGGCAGGCCAGTACAGATGCCTGAGTACTAACACCCACATGGTCAGGAGTCATGTGCTGGAAACTGGGAAAGACTAAGGAGCTGGACTTCCCAGCATTGCACACCATCACTCAGTGTCTGGGACTTTCCTTGAGATTTTCTTATAGCCCATGGAACCTCACACCTTATTTAGTCAGCTCTCCACAAATGGATGTTAAGTCTTTTATATTCTAAATACCAGTGTGATATAAGTGTAGCCTTTGATACTAGTATTTTTGTTTTTAATATCGATATACTTGAGTCACAAAGGTGGAACCTCTGAGTTAAACAGCAGGTGCATTTTAAATTTGAACATCTATCACCAGATCACCTTCCCCAAGGTTCCCTCGTGATTCCCACCCCTAAAGCAGTGAGCATTTCTTATGCATTCTTTCCAGGCCTTAAGCTTTTCTTTTTGTTCTGTGGGGCCCCCAACAACAGCATCTCTGTGAGTTTCTGTATTTTACCCTGAGTGTCCAACCTGGATATCCTTTTTCTTCTCCTGTTTCGGTTGAGCTTCTATGTGGCTTTCAGGACCCTATTAGAAAAACCCCAACTTTCAGAGGGTTCCTTAATCCCCCAGAGAATCATCTTGCCTCCATCCTACCTTCTTTTAGACTCTCGTGGTCCTCTCTGCCAGACTTGTCATGAGACATGATTACATTTTGGATGTTGGGAAGTCCCCCACAAGCCTCTAAGCTGGTGGAGAAAAAGAGCTGTTATATGTCATAATCTTCTCTGGGTTTTCTGTGCCAGGAATATTCGTTTATTTAGTGTCATCCTTTCCATGAATGTTTGTTGAATGAATAAAGTGGTTTTCTTTCTTTTGTTCTTTTTTTCCTTCCTTCTTTTTTCTTTCTTTCTCTCCTTTCTTTCTTTTTAAGCAAAAGAGACTAATAGCTTGTCTGCTCTTCAGACAGGGTGAGTCTGAGAGTATGTGAGTCCCAGAACCTGTGGGTATACAAGTTAGGCTAGAGGGCACCCTGGGGTCCTCTGCTCTGCACAGATCAGGATCACTTTGCAATGTCTACCACTATGGTATCTTCTCTCAGGTCTCTTGGGACTCAGCATTCAAGGTCACCTTATCATATCTCTATTGGAAGACAGCCCCCCCTCCAAAGCAGCCACGGATTCAAAACATCTGATCTGTTTCTAAGTCAGATCCATGACCTTGTAAAATCCAATAAATGTCAAAGCTAAGTCAGACCCATTAACCTCTGGAGATCTGTTAAAGGAATCCCTAAGGAGATTCTGGGTGCCAGGACAGTCAGTTCTAAACTCTTGAACTTAAGTCATTAGGAAGTAGGTAAGATTTAAAATCAACTGGATCTATTGAGAGACTTGACCTTTTTTGTTTTGTTTTGTTTTGTTTGAAACAGGGTTTCTCTGTGTAGCCCTGGCTGTCCTGGAACTTACTTTGTAGACCAGGTTGGCCGGGAACTCACAGAGACCTGCCTACCTCTGCCTCATGAGTGCTGGACTAAAGGTATGAGCCACCACAGCCCAGCTAAACCTCTCCTCTGTGATGGGAGAATGTCCTTCTCTATGTATGTTTTTCCTTATTGGTTGATGAATAAAACACTGATTGGCCAGTAGTCAGGCAGGAAGTATAGGTGGGGCTACAAGATGAGGAGAATTCTGGGGAGAGGTGCAGAAAGAGGTAGTCAGGGGAATGCCATGTAGCTGATAAAGGAGTAACAGGTCCAGAAATTCTTCGGTAAGATAAGACAATGTGGAAATACTTTGATTAATAGAAATGGATTAATAATTAAGACATAAATAGTCAATAAGAAGCCTGAGTCATTGGCTAGACAATTTTTAATTAAGTCTCTGTGTGTTTATTTGGGGCTAAACGGCAGCAGGGCCAGGCCAGAAAGAAACCCCAACCACATTTCCGCTGACAGAATCTGTCAGTAGGGCAACCTACGAGATCACTATCTAGAGGAAACTGCAGAATTTTATCTGTCTCCAAGACATTTAACCCCATCCCTGCCTCCCTAACATCCTTACATACCTATTTTCTAATAGCCCCTTACAGCACACATAAATATCTGCTTGCATGTGGGTCCCTAGCATTGTATTCTGTTATTAATGTTCACCAATGCAGCAGATTCAAGAATCACCTCGAAGAAAAACCTCTGGGTTTTTCTGTGTAGACATTTCTAGATTGGGTTAGGTGAGTTGTGGAGATCTGCCCTACTGTGGGCGGCACAGTTCAAGGACTGGGGTTGCAGACTGAGCACAAAGGAGAGAGTAAATGGAACATCCGAATTCATCTCCGTGCTTTCATCTCCGTGCTTCCTCACTGAGTCCCCAACGTTAATAGCTGCTCCACACTTCTATTCTCGTGGCTTCCCCACCATGGTGGACTACACTGACAATTTAGGAGTCAAACAAACAGACACCCAACCCTCCTTCCTTTAA